GAGCAGGGAGCCCGATGCGGGGCTCGATCCCAGGACCCTGAGATCATGACCTGAGCTGAAGGCAGACGCTTAACGACTGAGCCACCCAGGCGCCCCTAGTTCCAGAATTTTTCATCATTCCACATGGAAACCCATTAGCAGTTACTACCCACTCCCTCTTCCCCAGCCCCTGGCAACCGCTAAGCTGCTTTCTGTCCCTATAGATTTGCCTATTCTGGGTGTTTCACATAAATAGACTGATACTAATGTGTGGTCTTTTGTGTCTGGCTCCTTTTACTTAGCATGATGTTCTCCAGGTTCATTTATTGTGTTAGCATGCATCACTACCTCATTTTTTTTTTTTAATAGTCAGGTAATACTCTGTTGTATGTATAGACTACATTGGGTGTAACCATCAGTTAACAGACATTGGGGTTGTCTGCACCTTTGAGCTATTGTGAATATTGCTGCCCTGAGCATTCTCATACAAGTTCTGTTTGAACACCTGTTTCAATTCTCTTGGGTATACACCTACTAGTGCAATTGCTGGGTCATATGGCAACTCTATGTTTAAGTTTTTGAGGAACTGCTAGGCTCATTTCCTTTTGGTCCATCATAGACCCTGTGAAGCTTTAAAGCTCTCAGTCCCTGGCTCCCCAAAGAATCCCCCTCTCAAAGGCATCTCCTCTCACTCAGAATAAAGCCCCGAACTCTGCATGTGGCCCAGAGTAGTTTCAGCTGGCTCCCACCAAACTCTCCACCTTTGCCTCCTCCTGGGCTCCCTCCCACTCCTTACTCTCCAGCCACAATGGCCTTTCTGCCCCTTTAACACACCAAACTTTCCCCTGCCACAGGGCCTTTGCCCATGCTGCCCCCTCTGTTCAGGACACTCCTCAGACCTCAGTGTCTGGGTCACTCTTGCCTCAGATCTTTGCCTGGTGGGCTCTTATTTGTCCTTGAGGACTTGGCTCACTGTCCCTTCCTGAGAGGCCTTCCCATCTAACATCCCGCCATTCATGCCTGGTCCCACCAGCCTTTCATTTTTCCCACAGCATGAATGGCCATCTGAGATTCGTTCTGTGGACTTCGAGGCTATTCCCCCGAAGGCTCACAGGTGCTTGGCAGGTACTTGCTGAGTGACAGGATGGGAGTGAGCATGGAGATGAACAAGGTCGGGGGTCAGGTGGCCCACCTCTTGCCCCTTATGCTCACCTGGAAGGCCAGCTGGCAGATGGGGCCCATCCATTCCTGGCGATGCTGCGCGGCCAGCAGGTGGCTTCGCTCTGTGGTGGTGAGCAGGAAGGCACCAGTGTCCTTGGGGCAGCTCTCACCGTCAGCCGGCAGCACAGACACGCAGTCAGCCAGGCGGATGATCCGCCGTTCCCCACGCCGGCTGGGGCCTGCAGACCTGTCACATGCTGGCCCCAGGCCACCATCCCGGACCTCCCAGCTCTCCAGCCGTGCCACACCTGATGGGCTTCCTGCATACAGCAGACCCCATACCTTCCGCCAGGACTTCTGTGGGAGATGAGGATAGGGGAAAAGACCCTTGGGTGGCAGTTCTCCCTGTAGCTCAGCTCAGCACACACTGCTCAGCAAGTGCTCCTGGCCACCCTGGCTGGCCTCTGCTTCCCCCAGATCCGCAGGCCCCAGAGAAGGGGGCCCTGCCAGGGCCAGCCCAGCAGGGGGGAAGAGTCTGTGCTGGCAGGCGGTCAGCTGTGGGTTCAAGTCCATCCCACCAATTGCCTAACTGTGACTCCTATGAGCACTAGTGTCCTCATATCTCAAAAGCCCTGAGAACGCAAGGTTGGGGCTTCTATTGGATCATGTCCCTGACGTGGTTGAAGCAGACCACCTGACGCTACGATTGTATTGGTGCCCCCTACGCCCTCTCCCCAAAGAAAAGGTCACTCGGGCCATGGGACCAGGGCTGAGCAGGAGGGAGGCCTCGGTCTCATGATGGCAAGGAAGGAAACATGCAAATAGTGTAAAGCAAAGGAAACAGACTGTTTATCTGCCTGGGCAGCAGCTGCAGCTGAGCTGTGAGGGTGAAGGGCCTGCTGCCTGGGGAGAAAGGCAAAGCCCCCAACTGTGTCCTGTAACAGGGCTAGGAGGAGCTGAGCCCTCGTCTGCAGGCTGGTGCTCCTCCGACTCAGCCCCGGCCTTGTCCGCAGGAGCCTGGGTGCCTCTACTACACAGGGCGGAAGGCTGTTGGGTTAGCCAGCCTCTCAGCTCTGCCCTGCCCCAAGGTTTGGATTCTTAGATCCTCCCCGCGCTTGGCTTCCCCATCCGCAAACAGGACAGGCTCTCCAAAAGGCCCACTCAAGCTGAGAATGGGGCTCTGCTCTACTCCCCAACACCTTGGTTGGGTTCCCCACCCTGACTCCTTCCCCATTCTCCCAGGTCCCGGTGGGTTGAGGCTGCCGCCTACTGTCCTGAACAAGCTGCCTGGCAGCCAGGGTCCCCACCTTGCCGAACTTGATGTGCTGCTGATAGAGGATGCCGTCCTTGATGGGAGTCTCCCGAGGCTCCATGGCCGCTGCCAGGCCCCGGGACTGCCACTCCGAGGGCCTGATGAGACTGGTGACAGGCCGGAGGGGAACTCCTCACACTTCCCCTTCTGGCCACTTCCCCCTCCCTCTGTCCAGAGAGGCAGCTGCAGGGCTGGGGGGAGGGGCGCCCGTCTTCAGTAAAGGAGCTAGGATAGGGGTGGGGACATCACATATTTCTTCCTCGGGGTCCAGCTGGCCCAAGGCGCCCACGTGTGCCTGGCCGGGGCCTCAGACCCCCGGAGGGCGGCTGACCTCTGCCTGCACCTGGGTCAGCTGGCTGTGAGTCATAAGCTCCGACCTCTCCTCTGAGCAGGACAGTCGCACACCCCGGCACCTGACGTTCCCGCGGCCCTGTCCCTGTCCCAGGACCTCCTCTAGCCAGACTGGCCTGCTCCTTGCTTTCCCCACTCTTGAGCCCTGGTTGGTACCCTCTCAGTGCCGCTCTGCTGGCCTTTATCCTGGAAATATTTCTAATATTCACCTGCTCCCCTGTCTTCACAGTCCCTGTCCATTACCAGCCTCTCATCTCCCCTTTGAACCACTGCCTGACAGGGCTCATTGTGGTCCTTTCCACCAACCCCAAACCAACCCCTCTGACTACCCCCTGCCCGGGGGTGTAGCCTGGGCTCCTCAGCCCTACACTCAAGGTGCCCTGTCCTGGCCTCCACCTCCCCTTGGCCCAGTGCCTCCCAGGAACCCCTTACCACTGTGCCACTTGATAGCTGGGCTGCCTCTTCCCCTGGGGAGGTCCCCCTTGAGCACCCCACACCGAGCACAAGGGCCCCACCAGTGAGCCCGTCCTCACGGCATGGCCCAGTCATGTGAGCATGAGTGGCATGCCCCCATTGGGTCCCTGGAGAGATCACATGCTTTTTTAAAACTTTTCTTCTTGCTAGGCATTTTTTTTTTTGGAGGGGGGGGCCTCACCTTGCTGGAGGCTACTACTGGGGCTCTGAGTGTGTGTCTGATTTCTGGGAACAGCCTCCTGTCACTCATTCAATGCCACCTTTAGGCAGGCATGTGTAACCAGGCTGAGCAATACTCTTTAGGGTCGCATATGGGGTGTGGGCAGAAGTCTTTTCCATGGGCCTCTCCACCCGGCTTTGTGTCCCTTGCAGCCTGGGCAGCCCCAAGCTCCGGCAGCCGGACAGTCTGTTCTTTGCATTCTCATTGCCATTTCAATGATGAGGAAATCGAGGCTCAGAAATATTAAGTAACTTGCCCAAGGCCAAACACCAAGTGACAAACATGACTTGAGCAACTGCTGTCCTGCTGGGATAAGCATGTGGTCTTGCACATGAAGTGCCGGGCCCCGAGGACTTGCTGCCCATCCCTTGCCAGACGTGGAGATCCTGCGCCATCTGCCACTCCCGTTATTCCCATCTCCTGTCTCTCCCACTTACCTATGAGCCTCCCAGCAGGCGTCTGCCTGAATTGCCTGGATCCTGAGCCCAACAGACACCCAGGCAGAGTGAGATCAGTGAGTGCTAGCTGCCTGAGTGGTGGTCCTGTGGCGTCTGCTGCCCCCTCAGCGAGGTGGACAGAGGGTTCCCCACTGGGAGTCTGTGCGGGCAGGCAAGTGGGCAGGGGGCCTGAGGCAGGAAGTCACCTCCCAAGGGGCTCCGGGAGCTTCATACAACTGACAGGAAGAGGGAGGCTGAGGCAAGTTTGGAGATTATAAGAGCCAACCAGAGACCAGAAAACCCAGCCATTTCCCCCGGGGCCCACCAATGCGGTCTCTCCCTGAGCCACAAATCCAGCTAGCCCAGAGGAGCTACCCAAAGCTCCCAGCAGGGGGCCCCAGGTACGTGGCTCTCTCCACAACCAAAACCCAGCCGGCCGTGTTGGCAGTAGCGGTGGGAGATGCCAGTTCCCCCGCCTTAGAGGGGCTACGGAGGTCAGAGGGTGAGGCCTGTCCAGGAAGCAGGGATCAGGGAAGGCGAAACACAGAGGCAGGGCTGGGCTGAGACCAGGGAGGCTTGTGCTTTAATGACAGCTGGGGTAAAGGGGAACAAAAATAGTAATTCTGGGGGACACAGGGAGCAGGCAGCCAGGCCCAGCCTGGCCCAGCCCAGGCCAGCTGGGCCAAAGATGCTGGCTTTTTGTCCAGGGGGCTGGTGTGTGTAGGAGGTGGCTGGAGACTGAGGTCTCTTGGAGACAAGGGATGACAGAGGGCTCAGAAGTCCATGGAACTGTGGGCCAGGTAGTCCTTGCGGCCGATGTTGCTAACCTGCTTGGTCTGCATAGCCTCGAGTTTGGGGCAGTCAGTGATTCGATGGCCCAAGCCCCCACAGAATGCACAGCCACGCTCTCCTGGGGGCATGGGGGTGAGAGTCAGCAGGACTGCAGGACCAGGCTCCACACCCCAGACCCTGGCTTCCCATTAGAGCCCTCCCTCAAGTCCTCTGATGTGCGGCAAATACTTGTTTTGTGGTGCCCTCGTCATGTTCCCCTGCCCCCCGCCCGCACCGCCCCGGGGTCTCCTGGCCAGCGGTCACCTCCAATGTCCAGCATGGACTCATCCCCACAGTGCAGCACTTGTAGCACAGGGGGCACCTTCTGCTTAGCCTCCAGCAGCAGGGCTTTCAGGTCCATCAGCACCGACTCGTC